TCAAGGGGTAAGTGTCATGTATCAAATCAGCTGTGTAGGTCTGGAAATGACCCCAATGCCTGGTGAACCACAGAGAGAGGATTAGTGCCTTTGGAGAGAATGGAGGAGCCAGCAGCATATGTGTGCCCTATGGGCTTTATCAAAAGCCCTGTTTCTTTTTAACACCAATGATTCTTTTCATGGGTTTTAAAACTATATCAACCACTGTAGATTCAATTCTTGTCTCTGAAATTCAGAAGTGCAGATTATTTTCATAAAGTCACATTAGCTGGCATTTAGATTTGCTTCTCACATACATAGTTTTCAGCTATCCATATGGGCTTTAGGCAATAAATTTAAAACTCAAACAATCAGTTAGTCAGAGGAGCTACCTTCTTATACTCATTTTACATTAGATGTAAAAAGTCTAAAATAGAATTTATTCATGACAGAGAGCTAAGATTTTCCTTTAAAGGGACATTGTTTTAGATCTTATCTGTTACTTTCCTTAGCCTTCACATGTCATTAAATGCCAATACAATTAATTTTCATATCTGTGAATTGTGAATAATAATTCATTGACTCATGATGCCTAATAATAATGTGGCAGGGTTTCTAGGCTGCTGATAGAAACATGATGATTGGTTTTATACTTATTTTTAGTTTTGAGATTATAATATAATTATATTTCCCTTTTGATTTCCTCTCTCTAAACCGTCCCATATACTATTTCTTGTTCTTTTTGAAATTCATGTCCTCCTTTTATATATATATATATATATATATATATATATATATATGTGTGTGTGTGTGTGTGTGTGTGTGTATGTGTGTGCATCTGAGTGTCTGTGTGCATAAATCCATAATTACAACTACTCTGTATGATATTATTTTTACGAATGTTTCAAGGTTCACTATTTTGTATTGGGTAACTAATTGGTAAGTGCTTCCTGGGGAAGGTCCTGCACTCAGAATTCCTTAGCCGCTGCTGATTGTAGTTTCTTTGTGTAGAGCTGAGGCTTCATGGGCTTTTCTCAATCCACATTAGCCTATCTATTGATGTTATTCTTGCTCAGCTCATGTTTGCATAATAAAGTTGATGAACCTTTATGAGTGTAGCTTCTGACATTCTCAGAAGATACAACCTCACAATTAATTAGCTAATCCACTGGCTCTTATAATATTTTTATTCCCTCTTTTGCAATGATATTTGAGCTGTGAGTATGAGAATTGTATTGTATATGTATCCATTGTGACTGGGATCCACAACCATACATTTTGATTGCTTGTAGTTTTCTGTAGTGCTCTCTTTTTTTGGCAAAGAGAATTTTCCATGATGGGACATGATTACACTGATCTGTGGGTATAAAGACAAGTATTTAGAATGCAATTAGGGATCATGTCACTACTGAAACAATATGTATATTCTGCAAATCTGCTTTGTTTTATATCTTGAACCAGAACTAAGTTGATTAAGTAGGTTTTAAAATTAATGCATGGAGTTTTGAGAAAGACATTGTGGGGATATGGGAATATATGGAAATGAAGGAATGGGGGATAGATTTGGCTAAAATATATTGTGTACATACATGAAATTCTCAAATATTTAAACATTAATAAATGCAAAACTCTGCTAAGATTACTTTATCAGCTATTTAAGTTTTCCTTATTCCTAATAACCAAATGTTTGCATCAGCACAAATGTTCTGTTGCAAACCAGAAAAAGTAATATGCAATATTCATATACTGGCACATTCCTCTTGCTTGAAAATGATTCTACAGGATGGAGAGATGGCTCAGTGGCAAAAGGGCTTTCCATATAAGTAACATACATGAAGACCAGAGTTCAGATCTCTATATCACACATAAATGACAAGGTGGTCATGGCAACCTGCCTATGATTCCAGCAATCTGAAACAAAGACAAAGGATCTACTGAGTAAGTTGACTAACTAGACCATGGTTATTGGTCAGCATTAAGTTCAGTTGAGGGACTCTTCCTCAAATACTAAGATGGAGAGCACTCACAGACATGTCCTGACATCATCCACTAGTTCTCTCTCTCTCTCTCTCTCTCTCTCTCTCTCTCTCTCTTTCTCCCTCTCACACACGCACGCACGCACGCACGCACGCACGCGCGCACACACACACACACACACACATACACACACGTGAATGAACACAAACATGTTCACCAATTCATGCCTGGGAAGAGGGAAACTCAATTGAGGAACTGTCTCCATCAGATTCACCCATGAGTATGTCTGTGCGGTGTTTTCTTGATTGCTAATTGACATAGAAGGGTACTATCCATTGTGTGTGGTGACACCCTAGGCAGTTGGATTTGGAAAACATAAGCAAGGTGGCGAGAAAGCCAGAAGGACCAAACCAGTAACAACTTCTTCCATGGATGCTGTTTCTGTTTGTGCATCCAGGTTTTTGGTTTGGCTTCTCTCAGTGGTGTATTGTGACATAGAAACGTAAGTCAAATAAAACCTTCCTTCTCCATGTTGTTTTTAGTCAATAATTTATCACAGCAACAGAGAAAAAAGCAAGAACATGTATATACTCACTCAATGCAATTTGCATACATGTACACAGACATTTTAACACACACACACACACACACACACACACACACGATCGAGACAAAAAAAACCCAAAAATATCCCTGTATCCCTGTCACAAATGGCATTGCAGATGGCACTTAATTGCTAAGTGAAACACAGACTCAAAAGACATATACTTCAGGGGTATGGTTAGGGAGTTACAGCAAAAATGAAATCAGTTGGATAATTTAATTCACAAGATGGGTTGTAGGTGGAAGGAAGAGTTATCAAAGAAAATTTCAGATGATTTGCCTTACTTGATTATGTATTGGAAATAGGGCTAGATATTTGACATCATTCTTAGGACTATATACTACTATTTAGGTATTTGTACTGACCTGCTCCTTTGGGGTCATGACAGGATATACCCTTAGCTGCTGCTGCTAAGAGAACCACCTGTGCCTATTCACTACATTCCCTTTTAAAATGGCCCTAACCACCATCTTCTCTCTCTCTCTCTCTCTCTCTCTCTCTCTCTCTCTCCACCCTCTCTGCCTTTCTTTTTTTGCTCCCGTTCCCAGAAGTTGGTCTTCCCTGTCCCCTTTTCTTAATTAAAAAAAAAACCCTCAGCTTACTCTGTTACATGGCATCTTTCTTGCACCACTTTTCAAAAAAAAATTACAACACTTTACACTAAAATTTCTGCACCTCACAGAGCATTAATTAACTATTTTGAAAAACAAGAAGTAACAAGTAATGCAAACACATTGGTATACACTGAAGTAGCCAACCTGATCCCACAGGTTGTTTAATTGCTTCCTGTTCACCATGCAGAGTCAGAAGCATCACACAACCTCCTGGGAAGAAATCCCCAGAGCTCCCAAGTCTGTATGATTCATTCCAGGTCTCCAAGCATTAGTCTCTGAGATCTAATAGGACTCTACATCTCATCATTTTATAGGAAACAATCTTCAGGTCATATCTTTTTGGTCTCTACTTTTCATTTCAGTGATAATGGTTCTTAGTATAAATGGCCTTCTGACATGTGGGATAGTTGTAATGCTCAACCATGGTAAGGCGTATTAGATTGCTCACTTTTTTAAAATAGTTAATCTAAAATCATGATTTGCACAAATGTCTCAATTCGTTGATTTTAATTAAATGTCTGTGTATTTGTGTCTCTGAGTGTTTATGCATGATTGCCAGTGTCCCAGGGCTAGAATAAAAGGATCTTTCTCCCTGGAGCTGGACACAAGCTATCCAATGTGGGTGCTGGGACCAGAGTTCAGATTCTCTGCAAGAGCAGTGTTCTCTTTTAATCTCTCAGCCAGTCCTCCAGCACATCATATCCAGGTTTTACAGCTAGAACTTGTAAAATTGGGGCAGAAATGATATTGTGGTTTTTTATGCTAAAAGAGATGAGGTGAGCAACCTATCTTTGAAGAATACCTGTATAACCAACTTGTAAACTAGTCCATTCTAATATAGATTCTTCCGTTTTTCCCAGTTTAGTGAATTTGAGATCTTTTGAGTACAATTTGAGAGAGTATACCTATAATCATATCTAGGCAACACTCCATGTCTAACTTAAGGGTTGCATACTGACTATTAATCTGTTTTTATCCACAATAAATGACAAGCTGGAATAAGCATTTTAGCTAGAAGAGTAATTCATACAAAGGCATGGGGAGTTATATTGAGTATGGATTACTTAAAGGTTAAAATTGATTTCAACCTTTTTCTAAACAACTAATATCAAATTGAAGTATAAAAATAAAATCTGCCAATATAGAGAATTTCTTGATTGTCATTTACATTATACTTATTTCTGCAGAGGTACAAAGAAAAAATGATAAACGTTATATTATCACTATATTTTTACAATCAGAGGAGGATGTTAGGAAGTAAACAAGTAAGTATAAACCATACAAAGAATGAAGAAAAGAAAATGGTTCTTGTTTGTATGATAAATTGTACTAATTGAATAAATGGGTGAGAGTGTGTTTTATCATATCACGGCAAATGAATATTGTGAAAATAACAACATTACTGAGTTTACAAATAGACAGCAAGATAAATTAATTTACATAGTATTTTGGGGGGCAAATCATTAAAAATTTACTGAGTGGAGGTGACAACCTTCACTGAGTTCACAAGTGAACAGCAAGATAAATTAATTTACACAGTAGTTTTTGGGCAAATTATTTAACTGTTTAAGACTTAGTTAACATATAGATAAGGCTGTAAGTTACATGATTCATTAGCACTTTTCAGAGTCAACAGCATCTGACTGTGTACATAATTAACACAGTGAATTGGGATAAAATTCCTAGTCTTTTGTAGAGTATCTTTTGGATCATATGGCTCTTAAAATGCATGTCTATATCTTGTGTCAGTAATTTGCAAATTTGTAATTGTTATGATTTTATTCCTATTTTTATTATCACAGAACATCTAGTGCTGTAAGAAGACAATGATGGAAAACAGGACAGAAGTAACACATTTCATCCTCATGGGACTCACTGATGATCCAGGCCTGCAGCTTCCCCTCTTCATCACCTTCCTCATCATCTACACCATCACCCTGGCTGGAAATCTGGGGATGATCCTGCTGATTCTCTTGGACTCTCGGCTCCACACTCCCATGTACTTTTTCTTGGGTAATCTTTCCCTTGTTGATCTTGGTTACTCTTCAGCTATCATTCCCAAAGTCATGGCTGGGCTTCTATTAGGAGACAAGGTAATTTCCTACAACAACTGTGCTGTTCAGATGTTCTTCTTTGCAGGTTTTGCTACTGTGGAAAATTTCTTGTTGGCCTCAATGGCTTATGATCGCTATGCTGCAGTATGTAAGCCCCTACACTATGCCACTACTATGACTACAAATGTCTGTGTGTGTCTGATCATAAGCTGTTATGTCTTTGGTTTCATGAATGCATTTGTCTTCATTGGGGATACATTCAGTCTCTCCTTCTGTAAATACAATGTGATCCATCATTTTTTCTGTGATATGCCTGCCATCATGTCTCTCTCTTGTTCTGATAGACGTGTGAATGAGCTGGTTTCGGTTTGTCTAGCCAGCTTCAATATCTTTTGTGCTCTCATAATTATCTTAGTGTCCTACATGCTAATTTTTATTGCCATTCTAAAAATGCACTCAGGATACCAGAAAGCTATATCCACCTGTGCCTCTCACTTCACTGCTGTCACTATTTTCTATGTGACTCTTATCTTCATGTACTTACAGCCAAGTTCCAGTCATGCAATGGACACTGACAAAATTGTGTCTGTGTTTTATACTATGGTCATCCCTATGTTGAACCCCCTGGTCTACAGTCTGAGGAACAAGGAAGTCAAAGGGACATTTAGAAAAATTGTTCATCTAGAAAAATAAATTTTCTCTATATACCTTAATCTTTTCTTATACACACTTATTAGAATCATTATTATCTAATTACCTCCATGTCCAGGGTTAACCAATGCTTTTTGAAGTGCCTGAGAGGTGACCCCTCCCTCTACTTTTTACTCAGAAAAAGGAACATTATGTTTAAAAGCATGGCCTGAATGAAAATGCTTTTGATATATTTGATTCTGTTTCGTCAAAAATGTCATTACTGATACTGATACATTTAATCATTTTCCCTGAACATTTACTATAACATATCATGATGATTAATCCTCATTGCCAACAAGACTGGATCTAGTATGTTTGTGAATACTTTTCTGAGTAATGCCATAAAGGTGATTCCTGAAAGTTCAACTGTAGAGAATACCCACCCTCTCCAGTGAGTATGACCATTCCATAGACTGAGCACCTCTGATGATTAAAAAGGAAAAAGAGGACTAAGGACCAGGAACTATTTCTGACACTCCTGACTGCACAGAAACATGCATCCAGCAGCTTTAAACTCCAGCTACCATGCCTTCTTTAACCTCATGGAACATATATATTCTTTGTAAGCCTTGAGCCAAAATACACACTTCTGTTTTTTAAAATTGCTTTTGTTGTGTACCTCATCACAGCAACAGGAAAGGTAAGTGACAGACTTAACAATAAAAATAAATGTATGGCAAAAATGAAGAAATCCATGAGTAAGAGAAATGTTTAAAGATGCTGAGTGAGGATTCATGAAAATACATTTGGAAAATTAAACAGAATGGAATGGTGTGTGTGTGTGTGTGTGTGTGTGTGTGTGTGTGTGTTCATGTGTTAACCATACAAAAAGAAAACCTGCATTGGTCAGAACAAGGTTTTATAGTTACTGTTGTATTGTATTGTGTGTATTGAGTGTGTCTGACTATGGGTAGTCTATGCAGATAGACTATTACCTGACTCAATAGAATTACTATTTCCTTGAAGATATACTCAAACCACTGAGGGTTGCAGAAATAGAACACTACATTATATAAAGAACACAATTTTTAAATTAAAAAATCTATGTATACTCACTTTCAAACATCAGAGTTATTGGATCTTCTGTTTTTCACTCCTCCAGTTTCATATGAGTCACTAGTTGCCTACTCCCAACCCCTGACTGTTAACACCACATCTTTAAAATCAGAATAAATTGTATCATAATCCTTCCTGTTACACAGCTTTCAGATAGCATTTCACGACACTGCTTAGGATCCATACTTATTCTCGCATATCCTATAACAAATATCACATTGCTCTATACTTGTCCTGTGGATTTGTTTACTAGAGAATGTTAATAAACATGTTAAGAATCTTGATCTAGTTTTAGTAGATGTATTAAAATATAAATTCTGTAAGTTTAAAAAATTCATTTCCGCCAGGCAGTGGTGGCACACGCCTTTAATCCCAGCACTTGGGAGGCAGAGGCAGGTGGATCTCTGTGAGTTCGAGACCAGCCTGGTCTACAAGAGCTAGTTCCAGGACAGCCTCCAAAGCCGCAGGGAAACCCTGTCTCGAAAAACCAAAAAAAAAAGAAGAAGAAGAAGAAGAAGAAGAAGAAGAAGAAGAAGAAGAAGAAGAAGAAGAAGAAGAAGAAGTTCATTTCCACTCGGCCTTAATTTGAGAAAATACTGGTGAGTGTAATATGTTGTAGTTCTGAACTGACTATTTTGACTACATATATGAATATATGCAATATGTAGATCTAATAGAAATTTATACTCAATTTTTAGTCATTTGCACAACCAGTTCATTCATATTGACACTTTTAGGAGATAAAATCAGAGATAAAATATTGTTTTTGAAGATTGAAACATATTATTAAAAACAAGTCTTATACTTTAGAACAAAAATGTGGTCAATTTGGCTAGCTGCCTAGCTGAATGTTGAACAACAATATTAAATCCTTATCTACTACCCTGCACAAAACTGAAATCCAAATAGACCAAAGCTCTTAACATAATACCAGATACCCTGGATCTGATAGAAGTTAAAATAGGTATGGGCACCAATAGTGCAAACATTAAGACCTACAACCAATAAGTGATACCTTATGAAGGTGAAAAGTTTCTGTACAGCAAATGGCAGCAGAATTCTAGAAAAGTGGCAGACTACAGAATGAAAAAAAAATCTTCACCAATTATATATCTGACAAATGGTTACTAACAAGAATATAAAAACAATGAGAACATCAAAGACTTAGCATCAAAATTCTTCCAGTCTTACTTAAAAAATGGGGTATAGAACTAAACAGAGAGTTCTCAAAAGATGAAACACTAATGACTGAGAAATACTTAAAGACGTGTTCAACATCTTTGCCATCAGGATAATGAAAATTTAAACTACTTTGAGATTTAATTTTACATCTAGCAGAATGGTCAAGAATGAAACAAATAACAGGGTATTCTGGCAACAATGCATGGAAAAAGAAACACTTATTCATTGGTCGTGGGAATGCAAGCTGGTATGATCATTATTCTTAAAAATGCTGAGAAAAGATCTACCCCAAGATCCAGCCATCCCTCTCTTGGGCATATGTCCAAAGGACTCCACATCTTAGTACATGGATACTTGTATAGCAATAGTCACTGATGTCATACACAATTTCTAGAAAATGGAACCATTTTAGATATCCATAGGCCAATGAATGGGCAATGAAAATGTGGTTCATTAATATAATAGAATATTATTCAACTGTTAAGAAAAATAACATTTGCAGGTAATCAAATGAAGTTAAAACAGTCATCCTGAGTGGTGTAACCCAGATTCATGAGACAAGCATTACTTGTTCTATAGAATATAACCTTTAAGCTTTAGATAAGTGTGTTTCATTTATTTCAACCACAGGGGATAGAAAGCTGGTAAATAACCAGAGTGGGGGGAGGAGATCACCTAAGGAAAAGAAATAGAATATAGTGTTATAAAAGAATAAAGTGAGCCTGCTGTTGTAATCCCTTGACCAGAGCACATCACTCCATCCCACCACATAATCCCCAGAGACTTGGGGACATTCAAAACCATCCAGTGCTGCATCTGCCACCATCGGAGCCTTGGTTCCAACTGCACTAGGAGAGGTATGGCCATATCCTGTCCCCCACCCCCACTGGAGGCCCTTGACAAAGTCACTTAGCCTCATTCCACCCAACAAATTCCCAGAGACTTGTTTGCAGCCCCAAACCATCTGGCATTACTAAAATTTAAATTACACATAAACCCTGATGCACTTGTAGTGGGAAACTTTGACACCCCACTCTCAACACTGGACAGGACTAACAGAAAGAAACATAACAAAGAAATACAGAAACTAACAGAAGTTATAATTAATTGGGATTAACAGACATCTATAGAACACTCTGTCAAAACACAAAAGAATATACCTTCTTCTTAGTACCACATGGAACCTCCACCAAAATTGACCACATACTTGGCAACAATGCAAACCTCAACAAAGATAGAAAACAAAACAAAACAAAAACAAAAAATCTCTGAAAACCTAGAATAACCCCCTGTATCTTATTGGATCACCATGGTTTAAAGTTAGAATTCAACAGCAACACAAATTGCAGACAGCCTATAAACTCATGGAAATTGAACAATGCTCAAATACATCACTCCTAGGTCAAGGAACAAATAAAGAAGTTAAAGGCTTCCTAAAATTAAATGAAATTGAAGGCACAGCATACCCAAACTTATGGAACACTTTGAAAGCAGTGCTAATAGGAAAGTTCATAGCACTAAGTGCCCACATGTGGAATTGGAGAATAGTCACACTAGAGACTTAACAGTACACCTGAAACCTCTAGAACAAAAAGAAGCAAACTAATCCAGGAGGAGTAGATGCCAGCAAATAACCAAAGTGAGGGCTGAAATCAATAAAGTAGAAACAAAGAAAACAATACAAAGTCACTTACAATTTGTGAAAATCAACAAGATAGGTGAACATTTATCCAAACTAACCCAATGGCAGAGAGAATATGTAAATTAACAAAATCAGAAATGAAAAGGACATAACAATAGATGCTGAGGAAATCTAGAGAACCATCAGGTCATACTTTTAAAATGTATATTTCACAAAATTGGAAAATGTAAAAGAAATAGACAATTTTATGGATAGGTATCACTTACCAAATTAAATCAAGAACAGATAAGCAATTTAAATAGATCTATAACCCCTAATGAAATAGAAACCGTCATCAAAAAGTCTCCCAACCAAAAAATGTACATGGTCAGATGATTTCAGTGCAGAATTCTGCCAGAAATTCAAAGAGCTAATACCAATACTCCTCAAAGTGTTCCACACAATATAAACAGAAAGGTCATTGTCAAACTCTTTTATGAGGCTACAATTACTTTGTTACCCAAACCACACAAGACACAACTGAGTAAGGGAACTATAGACCAATCTCCCTCATGAAGAGTGATGCAAAAATACTCAATAAAATACTGGCAAATAAAATCCAAGAACACATCAGAAAAATCATCCACCATGATCAAGTAGGCAGAGATGCAGGTATGTTTCAACATATGAAAATTTGTCACTATAATCCATTATATGAACAAACTGAAAAAGAAAAACCACATGATCATCTCACTAGATGCTGAAAAAGTTTATGACAAAATCCAACACCCCTTCATAATAAAAGGTCTTGGAGAGGTCAGGGATAACAGAAACATACCTAAACATAATAAAGGAAAAATACAGTAAACCAACAGCCAACATCAAATGAAATGGAGAGAAACTCAACATGATTCCTCTAAAATCAGGAACAAGACAAGGCTGTCGACTCTCTCCATGTCTCTTCCATATTGTATTTTAATTTCTAGCTAGAGCAATAGGACAATAAATGGAGATCGACTGGAAAGGAAAAAGTCAAACTTTCACTATTTGCACATGATATTATAATTTACATAAATGACCCCAAAATCCTACCAGGGAACTCCTATAGCTAATAAACACCTTCAGTAAAGTGGTAGAATAC